TCAGCGGATAGGTACGCGCTTCCACCGCCTGTCGCATTCGCCTCGTGTTAGCTCTCTGTCTCTCCCGTCTTAGCTAAGCAGTGAAGCCGACGCCAACAACAACACCAAGACGGACTTGGGCCTCTATCAAACATGACGCCAGGGCTGTTTTCAAAACCACACTGGCTTCAGATTTACATCAGAATGTTCCGTCCCATCCTCGCCGAAGCAAACGGCAGCAAGATTATTTGGAAGAATCAGAGAAAAAAAAAGTATGAGCTCAGACTAATACATTCCAAGTCTTGCACAAGTAAATAAATGCCCCCTTGTAGTGGCTTTTGTATGAGAAATCCGATCCCCTTTATCGGGCCCTTGGCTTGGGGAAATTAGGTAATGCAAGCCCCCAAAAAGGTCACTCAAATTAATCATCAATAAAAGGGAACCGCTTGCTATAAATAAGCAGGAGGGAAGTAAAAGTACAAGGGCATACTATGATGGTATATCTGGTTTGTGCACACTAGCACATGGCTGCGGACCAAGAACGAGGAGTGCCAAGCTGGCACCGACCCAAGCCAAATTACGCAAAAATGTGCATTTCTATCCCCTTGGGTGTCTCCTGTGGTTGTTCCCCTGAGACAGACAGACACAAACAGGCTGAATAGGGAAACAAGAGAATGAAGACACTGAGTCAACTAGGGCGTGTGGTGCTTTAAGAGGGCCCATCATCGCTCGACCAAACAAGTTGAATCTGAACCCTGAATGAAACTATAGGCTTCGGGGGATATTTCAATCATGTGAAGTAATGGATATGCATGAACTTCCAAAACAATAGGCTACTGTAAGCATGAGAATAAATCCCCCTAAAGATGTCTGGCGGTGGCACACTTGCTTTGGTGCTTTGCCTACGACTTTTGTACAGCTCCCCCTTGGCTTGTATCCCCCCCCACCTCTCTCTCTCACACACACACACACACACACACTTTGAAGATTTTCACGGCTCTGGGTGGATATAGGAAAGCTTTGGAGGCTGCAGGATACTGAGGTGACGCACAGATCAGGTAGCTTGTATCATCTCTGTCGTTAACCTATCCATCAGTGCTGCAGCTAAGGTAGCGGGGTGTGTGTGTGTGTGTGTGTGTGTGTGTGTGTGTGTGTGTGTGTGTGTGTGTGTGTGTGTATGCGGGTGGACATGGGGCTGCTGCTTTGAGGGGTGTGGGGGGGGTGCCTTTTAACTCTAGCCCGAGCCTTTGCCACCATAAAGGTCAGCGCTTCGACATCTGCTGCTCTCTCTGAACCTCTCCTTTCATAAAGGGAAGCAGGGAAGAGGAGAGGACCCAGGGGAATGGATGCACGAGCACGACCGCACGCGCACACACACACACATCAACTTTAATGTCTAGGTACACTCGCTCTCTCTCTCTTCCGAACACACACACATTTTGATCACCTTCAACACAGTCGCAGCTCAAACCACACGCTCGTTCGTCCATGCTAATAAATACAAGAACACAAGGTTTGCGCCTCAAAGAAAGGCTCACTGGTATCATTACACCAGCACAGAGACGCTTGGCTTTTGGCCTGAAAGACTCTATCGTTCTTTTTTTTTTTCTTTTGGCAGAGGGATTGGGGGGGTGAGCTAAATGGAATCCCGTCCCCCAGGGGCACAGCAAAGGCAGAGCAGTGTTGAAATAAGTGATTCATGCTTTTATCATCGCAGGTGAACAGTGCTGCTCTTTCAGCTATCAGTTCATCAGTTTCTCTGGCAGAGAAGAGGAAAACTTACGAAAGCAACGCTGTCGTTTTTGTTTTTTCTGCCTCTCACCTACATGCAGGAGGGTGATCTGGAGGGTTTGTTTTTTTTTTTTTGCCAATTTATGTTATTGTGGCAACATACAATGTTTTCAGTAAAACCAGGCTGTGGCGGGGTTGGAACATTTTGGGGTTTCATTCACAAGTGTGCATCACACGCACACAAGAGTATTTCAACAGTTGTGATCTAGAGCTGAAAGGATTAGTCAGTTGAAAGTCAGAAAATTGTGATATTCTGATAATTGATGAATTGTTTCAGACACATCTTTGTAGTACCAGATTCTTACATTCTCTCTCACTGTAAATGGAATATCTTTAGATTTTGGGCTTTGGTTACACAAAACAAGCTCTCTGAATACGTCACCTTGAGCTTTTTAACAGTCGATATGACTCATCAATTGAGAAACTGTCAGATGAAAAATAATTTTTGGTTGTAGCCCTAGTAATACAGCACGGTGCTCTACTCACTGTGCATTGCTGTAGTGTATGTTTAGGTTAAAAAGATATTCCTTGTGTGATCTAAGGAACATGACACATTGCAAGGAAACCTAAGCAAACACCACTTCAAGATCTGCCATGGAAATGAACTGCAAGTGAATATGAATTAAATCTAACCACAGATCCCCTTCTCTGCGAAGAGGGAAGCTACAATCTCTTCACAGCCATCTCTGAAGCCTACACAAGTGAGTGTTTGATACTAGAAACGTGTGTGTACAAAGCTCTAGCTCTTTACAGGGGTTGTACATTGAAATTAATGTTATATGCACTAAAACACAGTACATTATAAAAGTTTATTATGAATTGTCAGATTAATTAGTAACTGCCATTTGCAAACATACACATCCAGTATCAAACGCGAGTGTGAGAACGCTGTTCGGACACAGAACACACACTTAATGATCTTCTGTTGTTTGTTAATAAATAAAGATTCCAGGCAGCAAACTTAATTACTATTATTATTACGAAAAAAATAGAAATTCATAAACTTACAACTTTATTGACAGTGAAGTCAGTATAAGCTCAAACATTTAATTCAGACGGTAACATAAAACCACAGCCTCTCTGTAATACTATTACAAGAGAGTCATAATACCATTAACAAGCCCATGGTTGTAGAGCCCCTCCCTGTGTAAAGCCAGAACCATTCAGTACAGGGGGGCAACAGGGCTGTGGTCAGGCTCTGAGATGCCTCCAACCGTTACTGTGAACATGGCCTGCCGTCAGCTAAAGAGACCCCCTTATGGCACTTTAATTTTCTGTTAAACCTCTCGCCTAAGCACATACCCACCCCACCTTCCTCTCACACACCCACCCCCTCTCCCACTCGCAGAAAAACACAGCCAAACACACGCGAATCTGGAGATATCATCTGGACAGGTGGCCAGCCACCCAGACCTGACCCGCCTGCCCTCTAGCTTGCCCCCTCCTTCCTTCTGCCCACTCCCCCTACAACCCCCCCCAACTGAAATCAGTTCAGGTCTGCTGGAAAGCCCCAAATGAACATGCACAGCAAAACCACCCCCCTCCAACCCACCACCTCCCCTTCTCCTACCAACATACACACACCTCCAACAAGCCCAGCAAATGTCTGTCACCCACTGAGCTGTCTGTGGGGATTATAGCCTCAAGAGAGCAAAAAAAATGGGTTTGTGTCTAGCTAATGTGCAGGCAAATAATTTTAATCAGGGTTTACTCCACAGTGACAAAAGCCATAAATGCAATCGGCTCATTTAAAACACAAGCTACAGCCCATTTATGTTGAATAATATGGTTGTGTTTATTACTTTGAACTAAACAAGGCAGCGCTGCTCTGCTTTACGAGGAAATGCATCCCTGACATTCTCCAACTATCAATTGAATGGGCAGTTTGAAAATGTTAACATAAGACAATTTCCCCATTAAAAAGCCTTGACTGACATACTAATCACAGATGTATTATCTAGTAGCAATTACTGAACGTACACTAAGCCTAATGGACCCTTTTCAATTTGGAAAACTTAACCACCTAAGAGATTAAACAAAAACATTAAATGTGAAATTAAGAAAAAGTAGTCCAAGAATTGGTGTTTAAGCAGCTGGTTATCTAATAGTTAGAGCTCATGGGGGGGGAGAATAATGAGGAAAACGCCACTTTTATCATAAACAAATAATGAACTAAACAAATGCTCAGGCTCACTGAAAGATATGGATCATTTTTCAGAGATGATAGGGTTAAGGACACATGGCTGTGGGTGTTTATTGGTAAATGTTGCCCCCCAAAAGATGCACTCCACATCTATGGATACCCAGCGTTAGGATGAAGAAGAAGAGGAGGATGAGGAGGATGAGGAGGAGGAGGAGGGGAGGGGGGGGATTTCATTAGCAATCCTCTTACAGAGTTTAGATGCAGATCGCTGTGTAAGTAGTAAATACTATTTCCCAGCGCTGTCGTCTACTTAAAGGGGGTCTGAAGTCACAAAAGTACACGCTAGTCACTGCATGTGGCAGCTCTACGCTTAAATATTCTCACAGCAAAAGCGAAAAACTCTCTCACGGCGTCAACAAATGCAGTCCACATTATAAAAAAAAAAAAAAAATTAAAAACACTGCCAACAAGGATGCCTTGCTCACAAAGCCGCAACGTGTTTCAGTCAGATATCGCTAGCTCGCGTCCATTATCGGACAGCTAGTTGTGTTTAAGTCGTGAGTCCAAGTCGTAAACGTGCTGGTCCCGGCTATATGGGGAGCACGTTTACGAAAACAAATCGCAGGAGCAAGGAGGATTATACAAATGCTTTCAGTCGGGGGAGGCGAGGGAAATGAGACGGGCACACCAACGTTAAATTGTTTTGAAAACCCATGCCTCACTGGTTGTGTTTAGCTCGCTGGCTAGCCTGCTAGCGAACAGCTCGCCGTTGTCTGGGAAAAAAAAAAAAAAAAAAAAAAGACCACCGAGGGTGAAGTATCGCTTAGCTGTGGGGCTAGCTCGCAAAAACACTGCAGCAACAGTCAGCTCAGGCAAGTAACTGGGCAAAGAAGAGCAAAAAAAAAAAACACTCGCACGCAAACACACTGAGACAAAGAAATGAGTTTTAGCTCTTAAACCAGTCGCAGAAACCCTGCAGTGTTCCCAGGCTACAAGCACATGGATTAACATTACGCTGTTTCATGGTAATAACTTGTATTCTCCCCAACTCCGCTCACCCACCACCAGCCCCGAATCTCAGACTCACCCTGTCACAACAGGCGCCATCTTCCACAAACTCTCACCAAAACTCCAATACTCGCGATATCCTTTCTCTCCCACAGCCCAACAATCCGCCGAGACACCAGAAGCAGACTGGAGGTGAAGGGACGAGGGAGACGGAGAGAAAGGGGGTGGGTGAGGAAGACAGAGAGAAAAAGGGGAGGCGGCGGGTAGCAGCAACACAGAGAGAGAGAGAGAGAGAGAGAGAGAGAGGGAGAGAGAGAGAGAGTGAGCGAAAAGGGCAGACGCCACAACAACAGGCGTGGGAAACTTCGAAGATCACGCGAGAGTTGGAAAACTCTCACAATAGGCGAGCACAGAGGGAGCGTCCACTCTCGCGAGATGTGCGTGAAGTGGAGTAGTTGTTTATCTTGTGGCGCTGAAATACTATTCCCACGTGTTTACCGGGTAATAAATTACAGTACCGATTGGTTTTGGGGGTGGGGGTCGGGGGTCGGGGGAGCTAGTGGTGAGAAAACCGTCGGTTTTCCCAGGCTCACTTAGATTTTGAAGTGTGCATCCTGTCTCCTCATGGCGTCTCTGCTGTATTCAGCATTAACAGCTGCATGTAATTACAGACAAAATATCTTTTTTATTTTTAATACAGTAGACAAGGGGGAAAGGGAGGGGGAAAGGGGGGGGTGCGATGAGGCTGAAAGGACACACTGACTTTTAAATAAGAGGAGGAATTAATCAGCTGAGTACCTATCTGTGGACCAAATTTTTAATTCCTTTGGGTAACATTGCAGCTCCTGGTTAGAATGTGGAAACAATGGTGTGAATGGGCCATACAAGGCAGATTAGTGCATTGCCATCACATTGGGGAGCCCCATGACCACCCTCCTCACAGCCCAAACCTCAGTCTAAGTACAAGGGAGGCTATTATTTAGGATGATCATGCTTGGAAATGTGGCATGGGATTTATTAGCCTTTTTTCTGTTTTGCGACTGCCTCAGTTTCTCCTCCAGCCAGATTGCATAGCATGCCCACCGCAAACGGATCAGGTCATTCTTGTTTATCTGGGAGGGGTCAGAAGGTCGTAAACCTTCATGTAGGTCTGTGTGTTTGTGTCTCTACAGCCTTCATTTAAATATGTTTGGCGTCTTTGTTCACCTTACAAGCGACTTCTAGTGGGAGTTTTTCCAACTTCAAAGATTAAAGTGAAGGCTTTTGAGACCACACTCATGGCAAGTCAATGCTCTCGTTTGTTAGATAGTGTGTGAGATGCCTGCGGCTGTTTTGTATGGAAAAAGTGCCTGTGTTGGCTGAATGAAAAACAAGACAAAATGAATAGTTGGCAGAGCTACCACCATGTTTAAATGCATTGAATATTTTAAACTACAAGCTTAGTTGTTTTCTTCTAAATATGTGGGCACGACTGGTTAAAGTGTGTAACATTTTGGAAAATACGCTCATTCGCTTTCTTTCTGAGAGTTATATGAGAGCAGAAATGGCAAATTGACCTTTTTTCTTACGATTTGTTTTTTTGTGCCGATTTAACAAATGCTTAAAATTTTTTATTTTTTTTAGAGCTTTAGCAATGCTGGCAGGTGGATTTTGTTACCTTTGGACGGCACCATGCTAGCTGTTTCCACCTGTTTTCACTCTTTATGCTAAGCTAAGCTAACTGGTTGGCAGAAATCAAATATAATTTTTGCAGCCACCCTATTTTCTTCCACTTTCTTGGAAAGGGAGGGTGAGGCGAGGGCGCTGTAATCTGCAGCTACACTTCGAGATGCCACAAAAATCTTACACACTGGTCCTTTAACTCTCAGTGAGGAAGCCCATTACCGTACTTCACAAAATAGCAAACTGCTCCTTTAAGCAACTAACAAAGCAGATACTTTCTCTGTATAAAGTAGCAGATGCGATCTCCCCCAGTGTACACTGTAGAAATCTACACATTTCAGATTTTTCAGCTGTATAATTCATTTTTATGGAGCTTCACTGTTCTGCCAGAAAGAAAGAGGAAGGGGAAAAAAAGGGGAGAGAAAAGAGTGTAGGGATGAGGTTTTGCATGAGAGTGTGCCTGGCCCGCGGCCCGCACTATGAAGACACAGAGACGAGGACCTCATCCTGCCCTCAACCATTTTTCCTTTCCCTCTCTTTTTTATAGTCGGCGGAGAACCTCCAGTTACACTCAGAGTTGAATGGGGAAGCATAAAGTTTCCTCAAATGTTTTACAGCTGAACACAGTAAAAAAAAAAAAAAAAAGAAGAAAAAAAAAAGTGACTACACAAGTGCAAGAGTTTTTTAGGATTAGGAAAGGAGAAGAGGCCTTTTTTTTGCGGGTATGCTAACTTTATATTTAGAGGTGTTTGAACTTTGACCTTTGTTGGCTGTTGTAAAACACACAACACGCTTTAAAGACTACGTATGATTTAAGGTTTCCTCCAGGTTCTCCCTGTCATTTCCACATGTCTTGCATCTGGAAACACATGATTATTCTCAGTTAAAAAGCAAAAAAAAAAATTGACCAGACAAAAAGCAAAATTTCAGCGTTTTTATTTGAGCTTCCACAAACGTCTCAATCTTCCCCCAATGTCCCATTCTCTCATTAGGAGTAAAAACCATTTATTTTAATTGAGACGGAGCCAATTCAAGCAATCGTGACTAAGCCATAAGCCTCAGGTCTATAAATCCACTCACTTGACTGCTTAAGCTCGTGGCTCAGGAGGAGAGAGAGATTGAGATACAACGATTCTTTTCCCCATGTGGAAACACCACTCACTAGTATAATCACCCCGTATGTGTTATCTGTGTATAGATTTGGCCTACGTACTGTTACCAAATGTGTGTCGAATGTATTTGTCATCTGACACCGGCATTGGTTCATAGAAAGTTAAAAGGGTCACAGAATGAAGCAACTTTGCGAGTGGTGTTGCACAGATTGACAGTCGAGTCTCATAATTCCTTTTTCTTTTGAGTGCTAAGCTGAAATTGTGAAATTAAAAAGTTTTGTTCTGCGGGGTCAGGCAATTTTCACATCCAGCTAATCCCGCTACAGCTGAAGCACTACTAGCTACTTATTACAAAAATAAAGAAGGGGAAATGATTTTTATCTGCAGATTTGAGGAGTGAAAACAGAACGAGGGAGAAAGCCAGCCAATTAAGGAAGTGCAGTTTGAGTTTCCTGATTAGCAGCTCTTTGACTCAAAGTCATTTGATACAGCCAGAGGGTGGTGAAACTTCCTGAAATGAACTGACACACCAAAGCACAGTCAAAGTGAAAACCAGTGACAGACAGAGAAAGGTGGGTTGAGAGACACTGGGTCAAATGTTAGACTGGTGAGCAGACAGACGTGCCACATAACGTGGACCCGGAGGATCGGCCGGGTGCCAGGCAGAGACAGGAAATCCGATTTTGGCACCTGATGCAACTCCTTCATGCGTTTCCTGCAGCAAACAACGTTTCAAAAACGAACAGCAGCCAGAGCAACTTGATAATATCATATTCCCTCAGTGAACATCACAAGATTAAAAGTCAGGAATGAATCAAGTCTGGCTCGTGTGAGTCTGAGTTCACAGCAGAGGGAAGGGCGTCCCTGTCTGTCCATCCGCCCGTTATGTCCATCTGTCTTGCTCCCCCAGCCACACGGGAAAACCCAGGGGTGGACGAGGGCAGACGGTTTGACGAATGGAGAGGACAACGGGTCCCCTCTCGCCCTCTTTTTCAAAGCCTCCCACTGTTATCACATGACTGCCATTACAATTAGTTCCCAAAGACATCACAGGGCAGAACAGAGGGGGGAAAAAAATTACAGAGTGATAAGTTTGCAGACTGTCAAGGGAACTGAAGCGCCTGTTTTGCAAGCCTACTCTTTTAAAAGAGGTGAATCAGAGGCATGAGGAAGGAGACGTTTCCCCTTTCCTGGACCTGTGCGGTTCACGGTGAGTTGAAGCTGCCAAACATATAGAAAACTGCACAGGCACGCCATGTGGCAACTCTGACATAGCCTGAATATGACATCGGAAACTAAGCAATATGATATGACTGACTTATACCACAGTGGCTTTGTAGAGACTACCTTTATTAACAGAATCAGACCGTTTATGGCTTTAAAGAAAACCTGTATGATCTGTTCAGTTGGCCTGATAACAGATAACACCCCCAATTTATAATCAAGAGCAATCAACCCACAGTGTGTATAGTTTACAGCCTTTCATATTGTGGTTCCAGGGCTAGATTATGCGCTTTCACATGCATGACACGATCAGAAGGACCCATAAATCCATTAGTGAGATGGTTATCAGCAGAAACAACAAGCACAGATAGATGCAAAAACCAAAAACCAGCATGTTTCCTCCTTGTTAACCCCGGGAGAGACGTTAGCTCTGAAGCCATGGCCCCTTTTTTGCGATCATCCTGCTGGGGATTGTGCACCGCAGATTTCATTCTCGTTTTCACCAGAGGGAAGTGTTTTCATAAAAAGTTATATGAGCACCGGTCTGAGCTGACTTGGCTCTGTTTCTTGTCGCCATCTTTTTGAATCAGCGTTTGCCTCGGGGTATTGTGCTTTGATTAAAAAAGCAGAGTTGATCATGAGCTTCGAAAAATATGTCGAATGCATTATATGATGGATAGTATAAAAGCAGCTTGTTGCCTTTATTTATGCTCGCAATCTGTCCCTCGAAAAACATGTGACATTGGGGATTTTTTGCCAGTGGGCTTAAATGAAGTTAAATCCCACATTTGACGGCATCCAGCCATATATTTTGATTTTCTTTATATGAAACACATTGTATAATCACATTTTACTGGAAGAGAAGATCTGTAGAACACTGAAGGTACATAAGGAGGTCTTTAGCATTATCCTTTAAATTATACTACTACTTTCATCAGTGCTCTCTTTTGTTTTATAACATAACTATCATATTTATTAAGCTTTAAAATGTATATATTTATTAAGACATTACTGTAATTACTCTACATGAAAAATGAATTTGATTCCTCATCATAGTGCAGTGATATTTGTACATGTTTTATTTGACTCACCTCCATGGATGTACAAATACTCTCATCAGCCTGGTTACTCAGACATAAGAAGATCTTAAAACTTTATTCGTATGGAATGGATACTTTATAAAGCAACGTTTGTTCCAATCTTAAGGAATAGTTCAACATTTTTGCGGAGACTGGCTTTCTTCCCTGGAAGTGAGTCATGTCTGAGCGTTA